AAGATACACGAGAAACTAATCTTCAACCATTAAGATTCGATCGTATTGAAGAAATTAATTATTCATCAAATTTTAATGAAAAAGATAATGGCTCATATAGTTTAACATATTCACCTAATCTATTAAATGAAATAATTAATTATTATTCAAATAAATTCGATCGAATATATATATGGCTTGATAATGATTTCTATTCAATTGAACAACGTTTTCAATCAATAATTTATCCAAATCAATGGAATAGTTTTTCAAATACTAATGAATGTCAAAAATTTATTTTAAATCAACAATTACAATATAATCCAAAGATATATTTAATTTCATCATATTATTCAGCTGAACAATTATTTACATATGAACATGTATCTAATATTCATGTAGCTTATTTATATTCAAAACAAATTGATATACCATCTCGATGGATAAATGTTTTTCCAAGAATACGAGGAATTTATAAAAATTTAGATTCACTTTTTGAACAAGTTAATTTTGATATAACAACAAATATTGAATTATTACCATTTCAACATCAACAACAAGTATGTACTTATAAAATTATTCTTTTTGTTTTTTATTAAATAACTTCTCCTTTTCATTTTCTTTTCGTTTTTGAAGGCACATGAAGATCCATTGCCAGTAACATTTTTAGATATAGATCAAGGTGGATTTAAACGTCAGCGATATTTAATTGAAATCGTACTTAAATTACCACGTACATTAGAAGCTAAACAAGAAATGATTGATGAACTTCGTCGTGTATCAATTGACAACAATATATTTTTAAAACAGATTAATGATTTTGAACTAAATTATCATTCAAATGCAGCTATACAATGGTATACACGTGATTCTTTTCTTTATCGTATATTAAATCAAGCATTACGTTGTGAAGATATTGCATCAATAATAAAACATCGATTTTTTATTGCTGATTTATATCAAAACTTAGATGAACTTCATAATCACATAATTAGTTCATATAATAATTCGCAGCAGACTATATTAACATATTACCGAGGACAATCAATGTCATCATCGGAAATTGAGCAATTTAAACAACATGTTGGAAAACTTATATCAATTAATACATTTTTTTCTACGACATCATCACTTGATATTGCACTTGTGTTCGCTGGAGGATCGACACTTGAAGGTGTTACATCAAATAAACCAGTTATATTCAGTCTTGAAGTCAATCCACTTATTGAAAATACACGACCTTATGCTAATATTAGTTTTTATTCTGCTTATGAGGAAGAAGATGAAGTTTTATTTGCATTAGGTTCAGTATTTCGTATAGAAAAAGTTGATTTCTTATCTGTCAATGATAACATACATGTGATACATTTAAAAATGATCGATGAAAGTGAATTACCAAAAGAATATATGACAAATGATTTTTCACAATTTGTTCCCGAACAATTAATTTCAGGTAAAACAGAAAATTTATCAATATCACATAATGATTATTTTGTAAAAAAAAAAACTTTTTTCTATAGATCCAATTTATGCTCTTGTTGGTTTAACTTCACTATTTCAAGTAAATGAACAATGTTCCCATATTAAATCTATACTCGAAGAAGTCGACGTTCAGTTTTTTGATAATACTGACGATTTAGATCACTATACAAAAACAATGCAACGAATTCAATCTTTTGTCATTTTTATCGATAGTCAATTGCCTATTCCTGATCGAAATCAACAAATAAAATTAATTTCATATGCAGAGAATGACATGCATTTTAACGATCTTATTTATGAATTATTGTATGAAATGCAAAACAGTAATAAGAAATCAAAAGAATATATTAAAGACTTATATATGAATGTAGCTAATGTCTATCGCCCTTCAAGTAAGTAAACTTTACTATATAGATCTTCAAAACATATATTGATCTACCAGTATTTTATCTCAAATCCCTTTTTAATACAAACATATAAAACAAAAGCAAAATTATATGAAAGAGTAGATTCTATTTTATTTGAATAGATGAACATGCAATATAGAACGTCGAAAACCTTCTAGTAAAAATTGTAGTTCTGCATTCTAAACTATAGAATGAATTTCAAGACTTATAGAGCCTCACGATATTTGCTGTTACTGCCGATACAACAAAGTTTTCAAATCTTTAGTTTTCTGTCAACATAATGGTTTCAAATAGGTCAATCATTTAGCGACGAAAGTTTCTTTCAAGTCTTTTGATGTAGATGACTTGATAAGATACAGAAACAATGCACGGATACCCGTCAAAAGTTCATGCGACTCAGTGAACCATGGTATGACTGAGGTTGCATAACGAGGACAAACTAAAGCTTTCAAAACTATGGTCTATATGTGATGTGCAAAAAGTCAGCTTCCATTATAGCTCGTTTGATAACTTATTCGATAACTTACGAAACTCCACATTTGTGAAAGTAGAAAGAATGTGAGTCACAAAAACAGAGTAAGATCGTACAGCAGAAATTGTTCTAATTTTTAGTACAGTATAAAATTAACGAATCTTCATATCTCTAAGGCCTTGTAGGCGAACTTTTATTATACAATAGAAGACTTTTATAGATATTCGTTCTTTTCTCCTCAATCTTCATACCAAAAGAATCTAGCAATTAATTTCAATAGAATACGATCAATTTTATTCATTTGACATTGTTCTGAAACCCATGGTTTTTTTTCACGGCATGTACATGCATATTGATATGTAGCTTTATAAATTTATTTCTTTGTTTCTATCCATTCTGTTTTCAGTGATCCCTTCCAACGTGTACAGTTTTCACCACAGAGAGAGAACACAACGATAATGACTTAATCTGGATCAACATTCGTTTTATCAAGACCAACAACAACTCCTCGACTTTCTTTACCTTCATTGTCTATTTTTAGTGATATGAGATCCGCAAACCCTTTGTTATGATCACTGAGAGAACAGCATTAGCAAGCTCATATCAGATCCGGTTTAGGAGTTTCTACTGAATAATTTTTAAATAAGAACATATGAATGTGACTGCATTGATGCGGATTTCTGTAAAAAGAAAACCACATGACTTTCATTAGCAAATGTTTTATAAGTGCCAGTGCGATAAAATCATTAGTCTTCGGGTAATCATTTGATATAGCTGACAAGACTTAGATGCTAGTGGCGAAATATTCTGATACAATAATTTATATCACATTCCAGTTTAGGAGACTTTTGTTGTGAAAGAAAAATTATATGAATTTTGTGAATGATCTATAATCAAGATAGGTGTCTGTTTCACTGCAGTAATTACACTTGTCTAGCTCTATGGAAGGACATGCCCTCGTAACCTCTTGAAAAAGCTATCTAACGAACTGTAAAAGAAACTAGTTCAAACTCTTGTCCAGAGAAATGACAAGAGAAAGAAGTGGTACTATACGCAAAATTAGAACGCTTTGTTCGTGTGGTCTTACACTCTTCTACTGATCTACATTCTTTTGACTTTGACGATTCTAAAGTTTCATACCTTGTTGAAAGAGCTATCTAACCAGTTCTGATAGAAGCTAGCTCCCTGCAGATCATATCTAGACAATAGTTTTGAGAGCTTTAATATGTCTTCATTATCCAATCTCGCTCAGATCATTTCAGATATTGGAGTGCTACACTTTTTGCACCCCGTTCAATTCTCCCAATATTTATCTAGATAGAAGCATAGTCTTACATAATGCCTTGATCAACTCTGATAGCTAAATAATATAGTTTTACGACTAATCCATGTTCAAAAAAATTCTCAAAAATTCCTTGAACTCATTACCAACATATTTGCTAGCTTGAACACTTTCATTCAATATATCATTGGTGCTGGTGAATATATAGTGAATAATTTCAATGAGCTGCATCAGGTTCCTCTACACCAGCATTCTTTTTAGGTGACCTATGCCGATACGAGCGGCATACCTAAGAGAAATCTTTACCTCTTCTCTAAGAGATTTCTCATCGAACCAGGAGTGTCCCGAGTGTGAAGAGGAGTCAGAGGTGACTTCCTACTCAATCTTGAATTATTTTCGTTTTTCATCAGTGAAACTGAACGATTTTCCTCTTTTTCTTTCTTCACTAATCCCCGCAACATGAGTTGATACCGCACAACGTTGTGAGCCCTACCTTCTCTCAGTAGTCAAACCCTACCACCGAATCTTGATGACTTCGGGACGTCTCTGCATCTGATCATGTCAATAACCTTGAATCACTCAGTTTCGTTTGATTCTAGTTAAAAAGGACAGAATTTGAGTCTCTAAGCAATAGACAATTTCAACGATATTATCGAACTAAATGAAAAGAAAGTTACGATTGCTTCATAATTGAAAGTCCTTTTTTTTTTAATTATTTATTTTCATGAATTTTTCCTTCAGACAAAACTACCTTTTACGTTCAACTTCTGCTTTCGTCAACTTCGAAAAAGAAATCTGAAGAAGAATTTAAAACAAAATTTTCATCATCATCAATAATCACTTTTTATCAAACAGAACCATGTATCTATTTTCTTGAATCTATAAGTGAACCATCCAAAATAGGCAATGGTATACTTATTCTTCAATCGGATGATACTAATATCGATAATATAATCGATCGATTTGAACAGATTGATTCCATAAAACATATGTACATATGTTCAAAAAATGCTTTTAATATTCAATATCGAAGAATTATTCATGGAAAATTCTACAATGAAAACGATTTATATGCACAACTCTACTCTGATAATTTGTCTCATTCATTTATAAAAGCTAATGAACAAATTGATTTGTATAAAAATAAAAATGAAGCCAGTCGATATTTTCTACAAATGGAACAATTCTATAAACTTATGAAAGAATATCAAAATCAAGAAATAGATCCTCTGGAGTGATAACACAAAATAACTTATAATAAACAATCCGATGAAAAAACTACATTGATTTTTCTTTTTTTTCTTTCATGTTGTTTTACTTATCATATTATTTGAAAAGATTTAATATGGTTTTTTTTCAGATTATAAAAGAATCCTAAATGGATAAGAGATATTTTATTATTATTGATGAAACGGTGGAGTCTCAAGCACCTTTTTTCGCTCAAAATCCTATATTTCAAACATGGTTACGTGCTTATAATAATGTACCTGAAGCCTTAAAATTTATATCTCAAATAAAATTACCATATAGTATAAATGTATATCTAGCAAGAGATAATATTTTTGATGATGGTTTACCATCAAACATAAATGGTCAAATACCTACTCTTATTCAAACTTTAAATGATTTACAGACAGTTCATCTTGTTACTATATTTACTCCCAATATAAGTACTGATACTCAACCACAAATTCGTGCCGTTACTTCTTATCCAAGATTGATAAAAGACGTCATTTCAGTGGTCGATTTACATGGATATATGTGTTTAGAAGGTACATCCTATTTTGACCAGGAAATATCTCGTTGTATTGTTACAAAAGAAGCACATCTTACACAAAATTTAAGTCAAAATAGAGAAGAATTAATGAAATATTTGGAAAGAGTTCATAATGATCGACAACAAATACTAAATGTTATAGTAGAAGAACATTTTAATAAGCCCAGTGAAGAATCACAATAAACTGTCATTGATTTACATTTTGTTATATCGACGATAAATAATATTTATTTTGAACAGCATTTTTACCGTCCATTAATTGAGATGTATGAATGTGTTGTATTATTATTTTTGTTTAAAACTTATGAGGTTATGATATTCTTTTAAGACAAAGAACTAAATTACATTCTAATCTTCTAAACGTGTGACGAATTTATAGTATAAGTTATAATAAACAAAAGGCGTTTTGTGAGACTCGTTTAGAGTAGCATTAGTTTTTTTTCGATTAGTTCTTCTCGTCATAAGAAAATAGGACATTTTTTGAGAAAGTTTTAATAGTCATCTTGGACAAATTTCAATATATACATTAAAAAAAAAGTAACCAGTGATATCATTCATTATAGTTGTTATAATACCATAATATTAGTAATTAAACTCTTCTTTTGTTAGTACAGAGACAAATCTTTGACGGATCCACTTTTGTATAGAACATAAAAACTAACAGCGGCATCAAGATTTTCGCCCTAGGAAAAAGATTGAGTCCGCCTGAGACCTTCTGTAGGACCACAGTTAACAACAACTTAAAAGTTGTTAGAGCAATTCCTGTAAGATTAAAATGTAAAACATAATGTAGTTGCTGTTACTAATTACAGAGAAATCGTTTTGTTCTATCTATTTTGAAACAATTCTTCACCATCTTTCTACTTAATCCTTAATAAATGCAATAAGGAAGTAATTTATACATTATAATGTGATGTTACTGATATACTATCCATGATTGTATATTAATAACGTTTGTCACAGCCTGTGACACGAGGCGGGAGGGAAGCATTGCTAAGGTGTTTGTCACGGTCTGTGATGAAGGAGCGACATTGCTAAGTATGTCTGTGAGAGGAGAAAAGGGTTCAAAGTTCTACATCTACACATCAACATTCCTTGTAGATCATATTTCATAAAAAAAAAAATTTCGAGGTGCTCAACCTTCTGTGGCACTGACACAAACAGAAATTTGTAGTAATTAATTCAGCATACTCTGCTACTAGTGTATATGATGTATTACAGCTACTCAAATATGTTAGGATACTGTTAAGTAATTATCAAATACTTGAGTGCAAAGACTTCGAGGTACTTATTCAGCTGTTTAATTGAAATAGTTTTACAGTGTAAATACATTAACCGTATCTTTTTTGTACCTTGCATTGAATACATTTGTAATCGATGCTTAATTAAGTATTTAAACAAGAAATCGATATTAAGAAAAAAAAATTTAGCTCATTTTGACTGTCATTTTTATTATGAAAGAAAATATGTTCTCTATTATCTTTAATAAGAAGCTCATAACTTCATTGTTTATACACATATCTTTTTCTCTGATTATTCTAGGAAATTTTTATTATAAGAAAATTGTGTTATTTTTATGTAATTTATCATTATTATTTTTGTTTCATATTTCTAATAAATTTTTGATACTTGATAAATTTTAATACGAGAATGTTCTAAATGACTTGATCAAGAAAATCATATACAATAGAAATATGACAAAAATCGACGTCTAGCGACTCCCATCAAAACTCTTCGACTACTGAATTATTAAATCTCCAATGGTAAATGTGATTATGTAAGAAAATTTATTATTGTATAAATTTTTCTTTATTTTTATTATTAATTTAATTATGAGTGGTTTAAGAAAATCATCACGAATACGTAAACCTATAACAACAATAGACCAAAATCTTGACGATGAAGAAGATGAACAAGTATTTGTTACACCAAAATCAAAAAAAATTACTCAAACAATAGCATCAACTAAACGTTCATCAACGGATGATTATGATGAACAAGAAACAATAATACCGAAAAAAAGACAAAAGAAAAAATCATCATCATCATCATCAACAACAACAACTACAAAAACATCACCATATTTTAATAAAAAATCAACAACAAAGAAAACTACTACCAAATCAAAAGGCAAAAAAAAGATTGAAAAAACAAATAATCAAAGTATTGATGAAAATGCAACATTATCTAATGATACTACTAATCTAACAACAACAACAACAAGTAAGTTTAAATTAAGATTAAATATAAATTAATTGAATATCATTTAATTAGCAACAACACCAAACGATGAGAATAATACAGATTCCGATGATGATGATGATGATGATGATGCATGGGAAAATGTTCATTCAAAGCCTAATGAAGAAGTTACTATTCAAAAAGTAATAAATAATAAATATATATTTTTCTAAATCTTCTAAAAAAAAAACAATTCTATTCTTAGTTACTTAAAGAACGTGAAGAAAATCAATCAAATAAAATTAATGATGAAGTTGAAGTAAATTTAACTAGTGAGGAAGTTGCTGCAACTCAAAGTAAACGAAAAAAAAATCTCAATTCTAAAGAACATCAATTAGAACTTTATTTAAAACGTGTATTAAAAAAAAATTTTTTACAAAAACATAAACATCATATTGTTTGTAATCTTGGTCATGGTTTTCATTTAATAAAAACATATATAAATAATCAAGAATTGAATTCACTTATGTTTTCATTATTTGATGAATCAATAACAAAAACACTTATTTATAATAATAAAACAACAAATATGAATGATATACATCGACTTGTTAAATATTTTAATGAAATTTTTATTCTTATTGATAAACCATCAAATGATATACAAGAAAATCAACCAATAACAATGAAAAAATTACATCAAGCTATGAGTGAACATCTTACTAATACTTTATCACCTATACGAGTTATTCTTTTTGCTATATATGTTCGTCTTCTTCAATATGAATGTCGATTAGTATTTGCTGCTGATTTACCACCAATTAGACCACGACAAGAAAAAGATGAAAAATTTCATATACCACATGGTAGTCTTATAAAAAATATTAAGAAAAGAAAATCAACTATATCCGATGATGATAATAGTAATAGTAATAGTAATGAAGATACATCACGTCTTCATTCACATGATCATTCATCTGATTTATCTCGTATTGTTTCTTCAAATTCTTCAGAAATAGTTAAAAATAATCAAGCTATTTCACCACCACCACCAACAACAACGACAACAAATTCTAAACAATTAAAATCTAAAATAAAAACACGTTCTTTAATGCCTCGATATTATTGGATTGAACTTTTTATTGAAACAATAGATGATGGTTATATTCCAATAGATATTTTTACATCAAAAATAAATTCTATAAAAGATTTTGAAGTTAATATTAAATTTCCAATGCTTTATGTATGGGCATTTGATACTGATTTATCTAGTTTATATGCTAAAGATGTAACAAAAAGATATTCACAAAAATGGTTAACAACACCTTATCGTACATCACATATTGAACATAAAACAAATGGTGATTCAAAATGGTATGAAAAATTAATGAAAAAATATCAACCAAAAGATAAAAGAAAATCAACATATTCTCAATTTGAAAATAAACAAATTGAAAGTTTGTAAATTAATTTAATTTAATTTAATTTAATTTATTCTTGTCTTCAAAAAGATCAATTAGCTCAACAACCAATTCCACAATCAAAAGCCGAATTAAATGGACATCCATTATATGTATTAAAATCTAAATTACTTAAATTTGAAGGAATTTATCCAAATGATACACCACCAATTGGGTGGTTTAAAGTAAGGAAATTAAATTTATTCCATAATAAGTACTTGAGATTGATTTATGAAGGTTAAATAAATCGATATTTAATATATTCCTATTTGAAAGAATTAACAAGAGCAATGTAAGAGTAACATCAGTTAGATTGCTGATATTAACTAGGAACTGCATTTAAGTACAATAACTAGTAATATAAAGGATAGGGAGGCGATAGTAAGTTTACAACACATAGGCAGATAAATATGCATGGCGTTTCGATAACGATCATCAAACTGCAAATTATTTATATCAATTTGATCCAAAAGTAAAGGTCTTTAGTCGCAAATCTATTCTAGATTTGTTGCACTCCTACATGTTAGTCTTAAAATATTTTGAACGAGCATTGAAAGTTAGTGGATGTAGGTGCGGATTAAGATACACAAAAGATCATCACTTACATTGAAATTCACACATCCGCAACGAATTGTCTGGTCATCATCCTAGTAAATAACATGTGTTTAAGAATAAGATCATATTGACCTGTTAGAACTTAAAAATATATCAAATACTCTATTGTTTCTTGATTTATATTAAGAATATTTAAACATATTTTCAAAATGAAACTACTTAATACTTTTCATATATATTGAACAAAAAATTTTAATGTTTAGGAAGAACCAATTTATTCTCGAGATAATATTCATATTTTACGGTCAAAACAAACTTGGCTTAAAGAAGCTCGACAAGTCAATCAAGGTGAAGAACCATACAAAATTGTTGACGGACGAATAAAAAATGTTAGTCTTCATTTAGGAATATTTTTTTTTGTTTATTATTATTTACTTGTCATTTTTAGATTGATCGTAAAATGGGTGTAACAATAAGACCTGAATTAGAATTATTTGGTGAATGGCAAACATCAGAATATATTCCACCAGTAGCAAAAGATGGTATTGTACCATGTAATGAATATGGAAATGTTGATTTATTTAAACCGGAAATGTTACCGCATGGTTGTGTTCATATTGTTGAACCAAATGCAGCTCGACTTAGTAAAAAATTAGGAATTAATTATGCTGAAGCAATTACTGGTAAATAATTAATAAAAGAATTCTTTAAAAAAAAAACTAAAGAATGTTTTTTTTTTCTTGAAATTTAATTAGGTTTTGATGCACATGGTGGTGGATCTCATCCAGTAATGGAAGGTATTGTTATATGTAAAGAATATGAACAAACTTTACGTGATGCAATTGAACAACAAAAACAAATAACTATTGAAAAAGAAATTAAGAAAAAAGAAGAACGAATTTATAAAAATTGGAGAAAACTTATTCGAGGTTTAATTATTAAACAAAATCTTGCAAAAAAATATGCTGATGATGATATTGATGGAAC